CTGAAAATAGCGATAGATTCATGGTACTAATAAATTAACAAGTAATCAGCAGACAAACAGGCGCTAAAGAGGCGTGTATTACCAGGTTGTTTGTTCTTCGGTTTACTGAATCCTACCGCTTTCTCTTTCCGATTTGTTTTTTCTTTTGTGTTTTTTTTACTTTTTTTTTTTATAATTTGGGATGAACGTACAATTATAATATTTGCCAAACCCTTTTTATTGGAGTACAATAAAGCAAAAGTACTGCAACTGTTATGTTATAATCCCACAGACGTTTCAAGTATTTTGGCTTGCCGTTTGCTAAGTTAATGTTTGTACCTTTACATCGTTTACAAATGCTCTTTTTCTAGGCCAAAAAAAAACTTCGAATCCTGCATGAGTTCAGAAGCACTCGCTGAAGAGCTGGTCACTCAATTGTCTGTATGCGTTCTCAAATCAGTTTTTTTTTTCTTTTGTCGGCGCGACCCTAGAATTTTGCGCCAATGCCGATCGTTTAAAGATTACCTAAGAAAGAGAGTCGACTTCTGGGATATAAAGCAATGAAACGTTTCATATTCGTTCATCATCCCGGCCGATCAATCTTAGACATACATTCCGTTACATACATATACATACTACAAAAGAATTGAAGTTTTAAAACATTTTTATTTTTTTATTTGTTGCACCTAAACGACAATTGAATTCTGTGTAAGGCTAATAACAAAAATCAGCCGTTAGTCTTAGCCAGTGACCGGGTCCTCAATCCCGGACGTAAGTATAAACTGATTATAGATGTTACGTGAACTTACGTAGTCCCATTACTCAAAAAAAAACCAGCAAATACATTGAATTGGCTTACCGCAGTCGACCATGATGATCTTGAGTGTAAGTGTTCACCAGTTCACCTATCATTACATTTCAGTCGACAAAGGTGATGTTTTTGGGCCTTCGAATAATCGACAAAAAATATGTTTCAAACTTGCCGCCCTTTATCGAAATACTCATTTCTAGCGTGGCGCTTCATAGCGTTCAGCTATCGCGTTTCGTTAGCAGACGCAGTTAACTTTTTTTTTTTCATTTTACAACCGCTACATTAGTCTCTTAATTTTCTCTTTGGAAACTTCGTTACGCAGCCTTGATTTCGTGAGCCTTTCCGACCGGATCTTCGTTCAATTTGAGTGCGAGCTTAATAAACCGTTTCGCACCGCCTTTAGAGTCACGTTTGTTTGATGCGAACTCCTCATTAGCTGCTTTAGGTCATTATTCTTACTCATATGATGATATTAAAAGTGAAATCCTGCCCAACGTACTCGTTTCGTAAATATGATTTCGTTGCAGGGACTTAGGCATAAAGCAAATGTGTATGCGGTACAAATAGAATTTCCTGCTCATTTTTAAATTTTTTTCACCAATAAATGGGTTCTATTAACAGCTAGAGATACACACATGTATCTAGGCCCGTAATCCTGAGGTCGCCTTAAAATAGCGCTCGTACAATAGCATATGTTATTTAGGGAAACACGGTTAATGGAGGTCATCTGCTAATTTCCGTGTTGTTACACAAATGTGATGAGCAAGCAAAGTCTAGAAATTGATTATATTTGATTATGAGTAGCCAATTGGGCACTCGGTGATGATATCAAGTCACTATATTCTATATGGTAGATGCAATACGATGTAGTGTAGTACCTAGCACAAAAGTCAAATTTAGCCATGTTTTTTTCAATATGTTCGCGTATTTTCGGTCAAGCCGTACTGCTCATACTCACCGTCAAATAGAAGCATAGCTATACGTAGTATCTATTCATATAAGTATACGGCAGCACTGTCACGCTCATGCGGGGCCCATACAGGGTCAACAAATGGTGCTACACGAATGGCAGTACAGTTACCGCTGACCAAGGAATAATGTCGGATTTCAGAGACCTGGAGGCGCAGGTTGCAGTCGTGGATGATTGGTTGCCTTTGGTGTCAAAGTGTAGAAGAGCGAAAGTTCTTTCTCTCGCTCGCTCCACCGTAGAGGTTGAACACAGCGTATTAAGTTTGCGTTTCCCAGATGGGAGTCGGCCGACAAAGGAAAAGTCCTCGTACGCGTTCTACCTCTGACACGGCCCTTTCCACAGCTAGCATGCTTCTGTCTTTAGCCGTACTGAGATCTGCAGGGAGCATCATGCTGAAGCGACAGGAAGGCGAAGCCTTTGCATAATAATAGCTCAATTGCCTATCGATCGCAGTAGGGAGAGCGTGATTCGCGATACGGGTCGCTCGTTAACAAAACTGTAGCTGTAGTGGTGGATCCGTTCACTCTGGCAAAGCTGATGCCCGCGTACCACCATTGACCTTGACTGGCGTTGGAGTGTTGTTTATCCCTACCTAGCTGGGCATGTGCTGTAGGGAACGGGGCAGCGGCTCACAAAAGGAACGACCAGCGGTTGTTTGCTGCAATGGCAGCAAGCGACAAGATGATAGGGGCATCTCTGCAATTCGTTGACTAACAGTAAGTTCGTTCAATTGGCGGTGGCTTAATCAGCACCTCCCTAGGTATACGTAGCCGTTACGACGGTAGTAGGAAAACTCGGAACCAGGAGAACAGAACTGGCTGCAAGAAAAAAATCCATTTCTCCTGCCATTTTGCATAGCGCACCGATGATGGACGGGGACCGATGGCTCGCAAATTTCAAAACGATTTCGTTTCCAACTTGCGCTGTATGTACTCAGTGGAGGGGATAACGAACATGGTCCTGCTGCTGAACGTCCTATAATCAAGTTACACCTTGGTCAGGCTAAGGAAGCTCTTGTGCACTCGTTCGTTATGAGTCGTTTGGCCCACACTCGCCGTGTTTGCGGGTCCAAGGTGCCGTAGTAACATCTAAGAAATTCATGTTTTTCTCCTTCACTTTGTTTTGTTTCCTACAATTCACTGGCCTGATTCGGTCGAACGAAGTGGCGTATGGCTCTGCAGACCTTAAACCTCCGGCCTTTGGACACCATTTGCCCTAGCGAACATCTTTCCTTTTTCATTATTTTTTCTAACGCATTCGCTTTCACGAAACATCTCCAAAGCTTCCAGCTATCCGATCCTATTCCCACCTTGACATCATCATTCGGTTTCTGCTCTTTTTAACTGAGCATTCATCCCTAGCCTGGGGTGAGGGCAACCGAGTTGTTTGTCAGCCACTGTATAAACATCTTCAGCGCCACCTTCTGCTGCTATCGTGTTAAGGTTAGCTCTTCTTTGTACAGAGTGGCTCGGACGTTCACCGTGAGAAGGCATAATAACGTCCTTTAATTAATTAAGTGATCTCCATCAGGCATCTCCCGCCTTGCACCTTCATCTGGTTGAGGAGCATATTACGCCTCTTTTTTTCGCCTTTCCGTGCCCATCCCACGTTGAGCTTCACGCCATTACGGCAATCCAACCGCTTTGGTCTATTCAGCCTAAGTAAGTATGACTGTGGCATTGATACTTTCTCAGATAGTCGGGCCCTCTCAATTAGACTTGGGACAACTAGAACTGGAAAATCTATTTCCTGCCATATTTTTTGCATATCTGCTCTGCTCAACTTTTGTTAACCTATGCATATAGGCACACACGTTTATTCAATGACAATTCAATTACACTGCTCCGCTTTTTGTTTTACCTGAGCTATGAAAGTAACTGCTCTTAACGTAAAGCCTCTTCATGCAAACGGCCTAGGGTGGAGTGTCGGGTAGGATACGCGTCTTTTTTTTACCCGTAGCACCTGAGGGGTTGTGTATGAAACACTTCGATAGTAGTTTGCACTGCCGGCCGAAGGCCAAATTTGTTTTATTTGAGCGATTATTAATAATAATTGGTTCGACTCACCATCTGATCGCGACGTAACTCGTCAATGAGTCATTAACTTTGAATATTCTTTAAACGAAACCCACTGCTTGACGCCTATGCTACATCGAATAACGTTTGTTTTCAGCTTGTTGAGAAAAGCGATATTGATTACTAACTTCGCGACACAAATAGGGTATCATAAAAATGCAATTTCTCTTCAAGTAGGCTAGAAAAAACATGGTGCAACTTAAGTTTGTTAATGTTAAAGTTCAGTAATAAGCATTATTTTTGTGATGTTGTCAGCCATTGCCTGTAACACATCTAATACAGTACATTTAGTTTACAAAAACACGCCTAGACAATAGACCTCGTCATTGTACCTAAAAATCAACAATTTGACCACCTGTCAACAAGCTGATTACCTTCACCACATCTGAATACCAATTGCAGAATGTCGCAAAAAGCATCGGATGGTGTTATCTTTATCCTCTCTCGTATACTTCTAACGACGCCATTTTATCTTAGTGAAGCGAAGCTAAATGTTTGGGATGAAAACCACCAATCATGAATAGTACCGACATCATTCATCATAATTTACTGCGCACTCCAGCCATCGCATATGCGGACCCTCATGCGGATCTGATTGATACAGCCGCCCACGTGAGCCGGCCAACAGCGTTGCCTCTGGCTTAGCTGCCATTGATAAAACCGGCAGAAGCCTTGCGTTGCATCAAAATTCACCATTTGCTTTGATGTGGAAATAAGAAAGAAACGCAGAGCAAACCGTAGTCATCAGGTCGGTCTGAAAAGCCACTTCGAATTTTATTGAACGAAATTGCAAGGGGCTGAAGCACAGCACAGACTGAGCGCGCAGCGCCCTCGGCAATGGCCCGCCAATTTAGTTGCGTTATCTCGTTCTTCGTTTGATTCAGTGCGGGTATGAAAATAACGGAAAACACATGTATCGTACGGAAGGGGCTCGCTCAGATATCATGAACAATTAGTAGATACACACATTCGCACAGAAACACTGGCCCATGGCCAACTCGCGCATACGCATACGAATTTTAGTAATAAAAATTCATATTTGATAGCGCGTAGTGCGCTAAAGGGAGTACTGGTTGCCTGCGTACATCTTAATTCCTTCCAGCCTTAACCCGACTCATGCATGTGTGCAGATATATATATGTACATAGTGCAGGTGTACACTTACCGCGTTTCTATATTTGTGACACAGGTGAAATCTTACGTCATACGAAAAAACCACATACAATCGCAGAGTACGCCTAGCACATTCGCATATCCATACTGACAAATTCATTTGCGATCGAAGTAACAGCGAAGCCACCATACGTAACGTTGTTATCGTCGTGGTTTGATTGACAGACGCCGATAAGAGCCTGGTACAATGGCTATTCTTTGAACGTAGTGGGGGAAAGGAGGGGGTAGTGAGATAATTGAAGTTTTCAGGCATCTAGATTACAAACCAACGCGTTTTTTCATATCTCTGATGACAAGAGAATTAATCTTTTCTTGCATACATAGGTCGCGAGCGTAGGCTTTTGAAGTGAGAGGCAAACTGTGCCATTGTAGCTATATAAGTCTTATAGAGCAGAACTGAATAAAGTACTGCGCTTATATATATATATATACACGCTTTTTGGCCAGCCGTCCTGTAATCGTATCTGCTGATTCGCACAGACGAGGAGTGGAAACAGTATTGTGAATCTTAGACTTATCGTTGTATATATCGATCCAATCAAAAACGTGCTTACTTTTCCCCATGATGAACGTTTGTTTCGGGTCCTTCTGTACAGCACACGCCGAATATCTATAGCTGTCTTACGGTGTGTCACAAATCATGCACACTGGGTGCAGGATATGAACTGGTAGCGCTGCTGGTTGTCCTTAGTCAAGACACGGTTAGATTCGTATGTAGAACACAATACTGGCCCTGCGTTCGAGCTCACTCTGTGCTCATTTTGGTTGTTGTATTTTGGGATAATCATCCTAGTGAAGATATGGTTGGGAGGTTTTTAGATACAGCAGTTAGGACCGGTCGATCTAAGGCCTCTAGGACCAAGCATTTGAGCCACATTCGGAAAATATTTGTAGCTATTAAATGAATTAAACAAGAGGTCGATATGGAGTTTTCAAAAGCAGATGTCTCAACCATCCTGTTCAAACTGAGATTCTGCCTGATAAATATTGACTTCACAAAAATTCTATTACTAAAACTTTAATTGTCGAAATTATTCTCGTGCATTTGTGTATATTGTTTCAGAATAATCTAAATATAACTTTTAGTCTTACTTATATATAAAATATTTCTTGTGCATAATTTTATTTTTCCCAAAATTGCTATTTTTTATAATGTACTTTTTGTAGAAAGAAATGCCCAAGTAGGAAAAAATCAAGAGGACCGTATCATTGACGTTAATTAGGTCGACATGGGTCAAACAAAATGTAACGATTAGCGTTGCGAATTTCTTTATTATTTAATAAGTGTTTAGTTAAACACTTATATAAACAATATTACAAACAACTTAAATAAATACAATAAAAATAGGTGATAGTCAGTATTTTCGCCTACAACAGCTATTATTATATATTAACAGGCCTATATGACAATGGTTGTAGGGTAAGTAGTTGTAGTTGTAGTTGTATGAATCAAGCATAATAGTAAGATAATTTTACAGGCCGTGACTCCTAAATAGGAATAAGGGGATTCAGGTTTAAATAAAAGATTCGTTGATGAACAGGACATACATATTTAAAAAGTTCTATGCATTTCAATTGAGTATTCCTTTGTTGGAACATGCGTATGCGTTGCTCTTCAGATAGCCAGCGCAAAACTTACTCGCTATCAGAATCGAACACGCGCACAAACAATTACCTATTAGGCCTGGATAGAGTAAAGCCGGCATTTTCCAAGCGAGCCGTCAACCTTTATACGATGATTCGCGAACGCTCATTGTATACCTTTACAAGCGTCCTGGAAAAATGGCAAAAGCAGATCTGCCATTCTTTTCAGTCTTAGCTACGATTGATAGTGAATGAAAACTAACAAACAAACAAACAAAATTTTAAAAAAATCATGATTCATCGCAGCTTACGGGCTCCATCACTTCATATACAGAATGCAAGAATACAACAAATCTAGTAAGGCCTACATTTGTAAGATTTTTACAAATCTTTCAAAAAGCTAAATTTCAAATGACCATTACAACCAGTACACCCCGATTATATGGGTTAACCAGTTTGTAAATTCAAATACCCGAAAAGCTAGCTTCTTACAGCTACACAATTACATATACTTTTATATTCCTTGTATATCTACCTCATGATGACCACAGGCTATATATATCTGTTGCGAACAAATGTATTTTCAAATGAAATTACTGATGGTAAAACGCGAAATGGTTGTGTTAACTTCTTTGCAATAGGACTCCCGCAACACCATCCTATTAGTTTTCTGTTACATCTGCGTTGACATTGAAAACGTTCCCCGTTCAAGATTTAGATATTTCTATAGAAAAGTCAATATGTAGCATACTAACCATGCACAACCTTTTCGACTAGGATCACGTATGAGCCTTGATGGAGCAGCAAGGTTAGCCATCGCTCGGAAATATTGGAGATAATCGATTTTGATCTGATAGCAGAGATATGAAATATAGGTTCAAAGCGTGATCTATATCTTAGATAACGAGGTACATTGTCGTTTTTAAAAGGTCAGCCAGGGCTGACAAAGCTTAGGTTTCAATTATCGGTGACGAAACGACGTTCCTTGGCTCAGTCTTTGAGCTGACCGACCGAACCTGAAGTGTAAATCATTGGCTCCTCTCGAAACGATCGGAAAGTCTCGTGGTGCTATTCTCTTTTTCTCCTGTGGCAATATTTCTACCCCAAGGTTAGACGACTGTGGGCTTCTTTAAAGAGGTGTAAAAGCTAGTAACGTCCTTAAGAGGTCACTATCCGCCTATCAGGGAACAGCTTTGCAGAGCCCTGCGCGGTGTTGGTTAAATTTTTATCTTGCAAGTCTTGTTATTATATATATATATATATATATATGCATTATGAAAACGCGCCATTATTATAAAATGGTTTACCTATAAGCTGTTCTCTATTATTAAACATAAACGCTTTTTTTACGAACGGACAAACTGTGTTCGATGTTGGATAAAGTAGCTACTGTGTCCCGGAAATTAAAGCACCAAAGATTTGTCTGCATACCGGAGAACCGCTGTCTTAAATTTTTCGTTTTTTTTTCTTTTTCCCCAACCCAAACCGAAGCTAAAACTACCAGCTTTAAAAACGAATACTATACTGCCGGCTTTGACACTGATCGGGCGCCATTTTTCCGTATCTCGGAACCTACAATCGTAGCTTATGAAATCTACTAAAATAGTCTCACTTGAAATCTATTATAACAGAATTTAGATGATAATTATTCATACTATATCTACTCACATTGCCGGTATTCACAATCGATAGCCTCGAGTAAGTTTTGCCATAGTTATAATACGCTAATCGATTAAGTCTGAGTACGGAAATCGATCATGTCCCTGCTGCCTCACGGTGATTGCTTTTTTTCGTTACTGATTATTAAGTTGACTATTGCTTGACATCGTAAAACGGTGCTGGTGTGCCACAATAAAAAAGTCCCAAATTATGCATATTCTAATAGAGAAATCCCTAATAGCGGATATTTGCATCGAAAGCACTGACGAGTATTTATGACACCGTCCGCCTTATTGCCGGACCACAGAGTTGGCCGTTCAAGTCAATGTGTTTATAGCACGGCAAATTGTCGGGCATTCTCACACTCGCCGCCTGACATCAATAAGCTTCAGAAAGCTGATCTGCCCCTGTTACATAGCTGTAATATTGTTTTTTTTTTATACTTACCAACGAAATTTACGTAGAATGATAAATGCCCACGGTCAGGGTGACGACTCTACTGTCCAGTTTTTCCGAACATTTTGAGATCTGTTTGCTAGAGAATTAGAACTATTACCAAGGTTGGAATTCAAAGAAAAAGAGTAAAAATCAAGGAAAAACATCCGAAACAATTTCTAGATAAAGCTGCTTCAAAATATATAACACGTTATAGCCTACTATATGGCTTACCATCTATAAATGCTAGGTGTTTTTAAACACTATTTTTTAATTACGGAAATATTTAGAGTCAATATTTGTCCATTAAACATAATGATGCGCTGCCCATTAAAAAATACACTTGCCCATTATCTACATTACAGCGGTGACCATATGAAAACATAAATTTATATCATTCTATCACAGCAATGTAACATGGCATAGAACATAATTCACTTGTCATCGACCCTTAAGCAATTCGTCCCTTAAGACCCCTTATGAGACTGGACCAAACATCGCTATTCTATTTTTTAGGTTTCACGTAAGCACAGCCCAGAGGGACGTAGGTGGGGTAGATGCGACTGCGCCTATCACAAAATATTAATAACCTTTGGGAGTGGGTCATACTAAGACTTAAAATAATTCGAAGGATGCCAAGGAGTTCGTTCCTCATTTAGCTTAAATAGAAAATCATAAACAATAAAAACTAAAACACTCGAACGTTTAAACACGTGTAATTTATTTTTGTCAGTCAACCCGGACCGTTTTTAAACTTGAAGTCCTTACCGTAAAATTATGCATGAGCCGTTAACTAGCAGTTAGTGGGAACAGTCTGTCTCTTGCTAGAAGGAATAGCCAACATGTAATGTAATTTTACGGTCTACCTTTGGTCAAAAGGCAAAGACCGTTTAACATAAATCTGTTGAGACACGCCGTAAACTGTGGCGAGATGAAAAATCGAAACTATATTTGAAAACAGAAGGAAAATATTTACTTTAACACGGAAAACTAACTCACAGCAGTAATTTCAACAAAACAAATAAAATGGTGGCTTTATGATAATTAAGGCCCTTTCCGAAGCATTGCTTTTTGGCCGGCGTAACATTTTGAGATTTCAATAAACTATGTGAGACATTGTGTTCGAAAGAGATCTCAATGGAACAGTAGCATGCCATTTACGGCTAATACTAAAAACGTGCTTCGTACAGCATATTTGTTTGATAAAAACTACAAACGTTACGAACCTAAATGACAGTCGGCTTCAGTAACGAGTTCATCAGAAATATCTTCAACAATATATAGCAAAAATGCATACAGTCATCGTCCTCAACTAAAACATAGTAAAATACAGAATTTAGAAAAAAATAACGTTGACTATTTCGAAATTAGTCTGTGATGCTCATAAGACGGAAATTACCTGCTTGATGTGTCCAAATTATTATAATTACCAAACCAAAATCTTCACTCTTGTTTACCTGTCAAAAATTGTATGACTCGAGATCTGCTTGAGCTCAATGACCCTCGGAAAATGCCTGTTTTATGTGAAAATAGAAAAATGCGCAGAATTATACTAAGAGGGCAGTTTGTCGTATTTCTGCCAACGTCATATCTAACTGGGCCTAGTACCAATAAATCTTCTTGCTAATTTTACTCAGCAGTGTCAACATTTCGCTTCTGAGCATAAATTAGATATGACAAATGAACTCGTCTATTAGAGGGAGCGAACTAGGTGAAAGAAAAGAGAGAGAGGAGGCGGGCGAAACAGGTCCAAACAGCAAGAAACCGGCTGAGCAACGGTACAACATTTGTAAACGCAAGCTCTTCTATTAAGTTGAATAAAAACGACCTCGTCTATAAGTTGCAGTAATGGGATCTTTGGACCACCATACTGTGCTAGTTGAAGCGGACGATTGTGAGAGGTGGAGGTTGAGGGTAGGGGCAGGGGGTCCTCTCAAGTGGAAGTGATCGCAGTATGCCGACAGTTTTTCATACGTTCGGCATGCCTTCACCTTCATTCCATATGATCTGTTTATAAAAATCTGGAGGCCAACAAACGTAATATCTGTGCAAGAGAGCTGTTGAAGTCTTATTTTAATAAAGAAACATATCCATTATTTCCTCGAGTGTTTCCTCAAAGTGGAATCAGTAGTACTTGAACCACTACAAAGATCGCTAATGGGTTTTGCGGAAGTCACCAACCTTAACGTCTCTTGAAAAAAGGGACAAGACAGTACATATATGATACTAGTGACCAGCTAGAGGATATACTGCTGCAAGAGCTCGCGCACATCGGAAGATGAAACGTGTATAAAATTCTATATCCAAGGAAATTAGGGGCCATCAAAAGTTATCTCGCAAGCTTTTGAGATATGATGTTACAAGAGTTTCTCAAAACAGCGTGTCGTCAACCTAGAATTCGAGCTTGTCGCACCATTGCACAGCGCTGACCCTACTCGCCAGTAACTTGCAGGAGTTACCCGAAAGAAGAACACAGAATAAAAACTCGAAATAAAGGTACGCTAACTTCGTGAAGTTCAATGCAATGCAGGTTCACAAGGCCCCGTACGAGCGAATACTTGTTATACTCAACAAGCAATCATACGAACTGCAACTTGACCATTGGGCTCTACTTTGCCTCATAGATGCGACGGACTGTTTCGTCGGTGTCTACGAGATGCGATAGATACCGCCACGTCCTCAGCAGCGAAACTCCTTCAGAAATCTGGCAAGTTCCTAGAACTAGCTTTAAACGGCGCAAAATACCTTTTGTGATTACCAATTTTGCAGCGCACATCCCACGAAGTTCCTGAAAAAAAAAAAAGGTAGTTCGATATGAGCACTAGCGTGTGCAAGGTCGCATTGCTCAAATCTGCTACAGCAACCTTTGCACTTTGCAAAACGTTTCGAGAGTATTTAATGAAATTGGTAAGGCGACTAAAAGTAGGGCTGAGGTCGCTGTTCAGGCGGCAACAGCCTTTGCAGCACGTGAGCGCCTACTCCATGCCTTTGTTACGCTTAAGGAGCCTGTTCTACTATCCTGACGTCTACTGGAGGTATTTCCAGTTAATGGTGTAGCAGGGTAACCCGTTGAAACCTCATTCGGTCCTATTTAGCCTTGATATTTTAACGTTCATTGCCAACTTATGGGATCCCTGCAACGTGTGGTATGTGTGTAATGCAGCCTTAAAAAACTAGTTGATTATCTTGCTGTTTATCAAGAACAACATACAATAATTGTATTAGGTTTTTGCAGATCCAGTAGTTACAGCTTTGAGCGCCTATTAATGTGAAGTCTGGGATAGAGAAATCGATTTTTTTTAACAAAGATAATTTGAAAAGTCAGGATTGACTCAGGACATCTGGGACTCTTACTGACACCCACAAGAGATTCTTATTTTAAGATAGTGCTACTAATACGCGCTCATTTGATAGAGATGCACGCCCTATACATCTGGACATACCGTTTAGATTCACCTAGATTTACTTATATCTTGCATCGTTATCCGATTGCAAAGTTTCGTCAAGAGTATCACAAAGCAACAAAGGGCATAGTTGACAAGGTACGTTGCACTTTTGGATATTACTTGGAAAACGGCAGGTCCACCCATCGGGAAGGGGGGACTGGGAGTAAAAGCTGCCACGGAACGAACCCTGTTTGTTACGTTGCGCCTTTCCATCAACTTGACATAGACAAGGCAAATGATGAAGCTACCAATAGGCTAAAATCAAAGACAGATCCCGGTACTCTAATTTTAGGCTACGCAGGACACCGTTTGCTTTTGGGTGTCTGTAGATGTAACGCTGTTAACAAGAAATATCCTCTCTTTCGACTCAATTTCCTCAAGAAGAAGCAATGTTATTAACCGCGTGTCATGCTTTCACTGATGGCTGGCTTAGGACTCTCTTTTCTACAGAGCTTAATGTTATGCTGGACTCATGGTTTCTTCGTCGAGGTGTAAGAAGCCTTACCTGCGCCTTGTAGATGTCCTTCTGGTGAGTATACGGCGGTAACGAGGACAACGAGACGTGGCCAACCAGGTGCTATTATTCATAGCGCACTGCACAAGACAGAGAGCCGAATGATCTGGTCATGAACGGGCCAAGCGGGTGAAATGGTGTAGCATGTCGTTATGGTCTCAAAACAAGCGCTTGCTGGAGGCGTATATATATTGGCTCGTTCATATGTTTATAACAGCGTTTCCAGCGAAGGGGGTGTGAGAAAAAGCAATTGGTAGCGGTAGATGCCGGTCCATCCCATTGCTGAGAACATCACGCAGCTTAATGAAAAGGAATTGTAAATAGCTTCGTAGTGGACTTTCTACTTTGAATACAGATTAAAACGGGAAGGGGTAAACCTGAGGGAATTGTCGTAATCTGGAAGGCTATACGTTATCTGTTTTAGGAGAGAGAGAGAGAGAGAGAGAGAGAGAGAGAGAATAATGACATTTAAAAAATACTGAGATTGTGAATTCACACAACACAACTGTAACATCTTACTATACCACAGTATTATTATCAGCAAAGCTTGTATGTTTTCAATTCCTTTGACAAACACCCAAGCTATCTTAGAAAACGCCAAGATAAACATGTCTAACTTGGTTAAAATATATAGCTAGTCGTATAAAAGGGCGTAAGTTAAGAGACAATTTCCGTGTAAATGTCCCAAGTCCATAGCCCATATAGATCTGTGGCACTTACAATATTTGAATTGGGCTTTATAGCGCTTGTGAGAACATAATTTCTCAGAACATATAATAGGCAACTCAAAACCTGGACATAATGTATAAAACATCGTATTTTGTATAATTCCTTCGACTGTTTATATAACGTAAAATGTGAATATATTGACATTTTTTCTTTCTTCCAATATGGATTTATCGTCGGATGAAGGGCATAAAAAAATTCATCTCAGATTCATTACTACCTCCCACTCAAAACAAAGTATAATGTTTCAGGGTAAAAGTATTAACCGTTCCCTCTATCTGAACGGCTTTGGGTCTCATATCTCATGTAATATGAGTCGCGTTGGGTCGGCACTAGTGTCATTTGAAAGCTGAGATTTGGCGGTAACACACGCGTCAAAATGATCGGAAAGCTTAATTCGGACACAGGTACAGCATTTTAAGGATGTATTAAATCTCTGCAAAAACACGCAATACTCCGGGCATTTAAAAATTTTGTCAGAAGAATCGACTCAGAGACGAAGCTCAACAGGTTAGTCGCTTTCGTTCTGTAGACTTCGTAGTGGTCGGCCATCTTCAGAGTAAGTTTTTGAAATGATTAAACGAATTAGGTGAAGCCGACCCGTAAGCAGTCATGAGACCGTCAAAAACCTAGGCATCAAACAGTTTTTTTTAAGGAGGCTAACGCCAACAATTTTACTGCCACATAAATTAACGCAAAAAAATTTATCGTAAAACTCTACAGAGAAACTGTGAGTCAAAAATCACGGATGGCGGTAAGTAAATCACATACAACGATGACGTGCAAATAAAAAAAAAAAAAAGGAAAAAATGTATTTAACAATCTATGGCGAAATACAGACTGGCATTAACGGAGGTAATTCTATGCATTTGACGGGATTGAAAGGCAATTGTATATTATGAGTTGCTGCCACCTGGTAAAACAAATAGTTCGGACTATAACACAACAACAACTAATAAAATAATAATAATAATAAGCCATTGAAAAAAAAATCTAGAAGAACTAGTGAACAGAAAGGCGTCACCTTTCATCATACCAGACCGCATATATATTTTTTTACTCAACAAAAATTCCCAGAACCTGGATAGGAAATTTTAATGCATACGCTATAGGGCCTCTATCCTGCAGCATCAGGCTACCTTCTGTTTCGATCTCTGCAAAATTACCTTAATGGTGTTAATTTAATTTCAACGAAGAGATGCAAACGTCAAATTTCCCACCCGGAAACATCAGAAGCATTAAAATGATGAGCTTATGGTATTAACCGAATACTAGCGGAGGTTATCGGTCAAAATAGCGCATATTTAGTTCGATTATATCATTTAAAAACATCAAAACTATTTGCTTCAACTTTGATTTCTCTCAATATTTACTCTTCATTGAAAAAAGTCGGCCTTCTTAACTTCGGCTGAAGTGAACTTCAGTCTTTCTGTATAAAAGCAAAGAAAGAATATCTAACTAAACTAAAAAAAGAACTACAAAGTTACTCGATTTGTTATAGGCAATAATAAACTTTCTTACATCGTGTGTACGGTCAAACAACACCGTAATTGGTCGCGTGAAAATTACTAAGTTTTAACTTTAAACATAAATGTTGCGAGAACTATTACCTTTTTTCTTCCGGCAATCTAAAAGCAGGCCTATAACTAACAGACACCTATAACCGCTCACTGCACTGTGCAATCAGATCAAACAAACCTCCATAGATGCTTAGTCCTCTAAAGTTACTCCTATAGTACTAGTTTTGAATATACAGGTTTGAGTATCTGAATATTGACTAAAACTTCGACCCAAGGTTTTAGTTACTCTGGGCTTGAGTGTCCAAAAGTCCAGTGACTAGGACTTACGGAAAAAATTTGTGGGAACGGAACGATTCTCACATGGTCTTGAGCCAATGTACATTGGGACAGGGACAAAAAGAGGTAAGAGGTCAGGCTTTGTGAGCATATTAGGATTTGATGGGAGGCTAAAGCCCAAAGATTGTAAAGCCCCTCTAAATAGTAGGTTCTCAAGAGAAATTACCTTTCTCCCAGCACAAAATCTTGGTGAGTTTGGTGAGCATACATATTATTTCGAGCCCTTGAACGCAGCGTAACCGAGTATAGTTTTTTCTGAAAAAAGATATGACGTTTTTAGGTTCTGATGTCATATCTACCGCAACGTGAGTGAGCTTTTAGGATTTATTGTGTATTGAGTAGTTAGCTAAACCTTGACAATTATTGATAAAGTTAGCGTACCTAGCCGGTCTACTGATCTGTCGAGAAGGGCATACATCTTTATTGGGAAAAGACAACAGGGCCATTGATTGTTATTTGCAGCTAGTTAGCCCCCTCGGTCTAAACAACCATGAACACAGTTTGGCAATTTCATTCGTTTCTAGTATTAGTTCAAACAAGCAAATACCATATGAAATGCGTTGAAGAACATCCGATTGATGGATCGGGGTTTTGACTGCTCTTCTTGTGAAGATCAAGCTAACTTCATGGCTGTCTCCACGAATCGGCTTAATCTTCAATCGATCTTACCACACAAATGTAACATAACAAGTTAAAGGCTACTGTCGAAGTAATTGTACAGTACAATAACTTATTTAACGAACGCTTATTGTTTCGACATATTAAGATGCACGTTTTTTTTATAATGATTTTGCGGGTTAGAGGCAGAGGTTAGACCCTGTAACACAATAGCCGCAATCACCATTGGCAAGTACTTACATAAAACAATGATAAATATTCAGTAGTTATTTCAGTTATTATTATTACCTACCTACCTACCTAACCTAACCTAGCCTAACACATACAGATAATTCCATTTCATTCATTTGTGATATGTGAACTACATTACGAAATCTAAGGCATATCCAGCTATCTCTAGCGAATGTCTTGTGTATCCATGCGCTATCGATACCGTAGTTTGTTGTTTCCCCGTCAAATCCTCACGCCAGAAATTTGTCGTTGCCTAATGGGGCGGGCCGTTAATTAAAGCTCTCCTTATATCCACCAGTTTATTAGATTCAGTTAAGGTTCTTATTTTCTGAGTCATTCAAGGGTATGGCGGTACCAAAAACGATATGTGACCGCAGCTGGTAGAGCTCATTATCGGCTTCGAGTAAAAGCTATTACACATATGAGTTCAAAGATTGCTTTAAATTAGGCTCAATTAAAGCTACATTTTGCTAGCTTCTTACTTAATTATTTAATATATTTAAGGATTAGGAGATCTATTAAACTTAACTTGGACTCTAGCTTGCGTGTACGTTATTGCTAGTCTATCCTTGATGCAGTAGATGTACACGACTTTCTAAATCAGTTGTTCCTAATGAATGATCGAAGCGTTCTGGATTCGTAATCAATCACTGTTGAAACAGGGCCCCTCAAATCGCAGTTTGTTTTCAGCTACTGGCAGATGATACGAAGTTTGATAGTTTACATAAATCAGCAACGAACACAGTGGCCTCAAACTCACCTTTAGCGTCCTAAGCACAGTCTTGTTATACGCATTTTTTTCTTACGCCGTTAATGTCAAATAATAGGATTGCTTATGATGTTGTTATAACAGTATTACTAGCTATATATTATGCGTATTTTTTGCATAAAGCTATCTCACGTTAATTACGCCAGCTTTCATTGACTGCTCTCATGATTGATGTAAATCTTGTTGGTCTCTAAAGAGTGAGCATTCTAATGAAACGCAGGAACTTTCGCTTGATTTGAAGTATTATTGGAAGCTCCAATTTAGTAACTGACTTACCCGTTCTCAAGGGAATATACCGTCCCAACTAATCATCTCATAGGGTTTCATGCTGAACACTACCTTAGTGCACGCATTTTTCCTGCGTGGAGTGAGCCAGCACGTGGCCACTTTTGGTCAAATTTTTCGAAATAGTTCTGTCGTTTGGAATCATCAGAGAACGTTATCTTGTTGGAAACATTCTGTTTTTAGGGAAATGTCAATATTGTTTAGTCGCTAACCATTTTCTGTGATTCACTATTTTCAAGAGTATAGCATTATCGATAGTTTTACAGCTCTCAGTCTGAAATCAAGCCCAAATTTATCCCTCCGCCGAAGTCGTCAGCCAATGATAGCGTTTCCGTCCTTTACAAACTTGAGTTGAGCCGCTTCGAGAACTGGTCTTGGTAATTTACTAGCCCGATTAAGTGCTTCATGCATGCATTCGATGCGATGACGTTTTGGACCTTTCTGTTTGTCCTGCCGCAATTCGTCGTATTTCCCGGGTAATTCAGTTTCATGGTTCAGAGAAAAAAAGGTGTACCATTAACCAGTAAAAATGATGAATGGGAGAGGAACAAAAATATAAATAACATACCTCGCCTTTCTACTCAAGCTTAATTTCATTCATCTACATCGATCGTCTATTTCTTATATCAGTAGCGTAACATAAAGTATCCTACACCGCGCATCAAGGGCAGAATGAGTATGATAATGTGACTCTTTCCGGAAGCTGATGCGGGTTTTGTCAAATGAAGTGTTACATTTCAGCCGTCTCAGCAAACAAATGTCGCATATTAGACAGCCGATCATGTAAACTACCCACGTTTGTATGAATTCACATGAAACAATATTTTGTTTGAAGACCACTTCTTGGCTAACCCAATAGCAGTCAAACACAAACATGTACATAAACAAAATGCAGCGTTTGAGATTGAGCATAGCTTGTTTCTTTAGGACGGACATTCTGGAAGTTATTTGGTAAAAACGATTCTACTAAGACATCCAAAAAATAGTCGTTGTTATTAATCCGTTTAAACTAAATTTTTGAGCCTTCTTAGGTCGGAAACAATTCCTGCTCTCGCGCGCCTATTTCTATCATAAAAATACTATCTGATCAAATTTATCCGTTAGAACTCAGCGCAGGCAAACAATCACAGTTTACGCAAAAATGTTAATCGAAAATACGACGCTACCCACGCTAAACTAGTCGTATATTAAGAGTGACGGACGTCCATTCTGACCTATAGACCACCAGGCTCTTCAATAAACGAGGGCCGCATTGTAATATGGTCTACGACATATAGTAAAATCATAGCTAGTTCAAAAAGGGTGGATCTGTTAAGAGGCGCGAATACTTGAGCTATTTTGAAAGCACTCACAAAGGACAATGGTTTGGCAGTTGACTTGGAAGGATGAGAAGACTAATAAAATTTTTTAAAATTAGTTTTTGCTAACTCATATCTCATTAGATGGATCTGTCTGAGATGGCATCGTCAACTCCTGCAAGTTCATGGGCATCTTCGGGTTGAACGCTTTTTAGCCGCGTTCGTATGATGCGATCATTAACAAATGTTTAATGCGCCATCGCCGTTATGTTGTAACGGAAGTTAGTAGTACGGCGACTGGTTCTGATCACGTTTAGTTCGTCATCTATTCTCGATAGCTTGAGCGTTTATGTACAAACATACGTATTGCCGTTAGCAAGTTAGTGAGCAGGATTTTTGCGAATAGAAAGAAATTAGATTGTCTCTAAAATTAAAAAAGTGAACAGAGAGTGCTTTAGAAAATCCGCATACAGGTAAACTCCATTCCTACATGTCCTTTAGGCCACACGAATCTTGAAGTGTCCTGAACTCCAAACCTACAAATTTTCGAAAGGGTGCGCCCGGGCACTTATTACTAGGACTATTACTAGCTAGAATTTTACCTTTAATTTTATCAGATATTTGAGGTAAATAAAAAATTAGAAGAAGCTATAAGATACCTTATTTTTCCGCGCAGTTCTCATCTGGCTCACGATCATCATCAGTCCGGGAATCACTGTTTAAAAGCATAGAAAAATTTTAGGGTTGGTGCCTCAGATAATGCTTTAAATATTCTTCTGATCACTTTTTCTATAGGGAAGCTCGCTCACTATTCGGCTATATACATAAAGCCAAGGCATTTAAACTGCCCTGATACTCGTGTTAATGGCAAGTATGAGAGAGCACAGGAGAACGTTTACATGCAATCAGCTTCATTCTGTAGAGACTTTGCGATCTGTGAGAGAACATCCCAGAGAAAGAGAAGCTTTGTTTACCTTTGTGGGTTTATTCCCTATTGATTCCTAAAGAATGTTTAACCGCTTATTATTAGTAGCGTGGCTAAATCTCAACACCCGCTTGAAAACTTAGGGAAATGATCCATTTCCCTATTCCATTTTGAGAGCATACGAGCTTCTTTCAGAATTTCTCGTTCTCTGCCAAGTAGCTTTATGCTGGTTTCGAAGGTACCTAGAGGGGATTATTACGTGCCTGTTTATAAGGTTCACGATAGGAATTATAAGCGGGCCCGGAAGCTCGGAAATGCCCCAAAAAAGTTATTTTGGAGTACCTTATTATGGAGTAGTAGGTAAATATTAGAGCTGATTTTCACCGCAAGCGTATCTGCCGCCCGTCTCTGTCAACACACTGATACTTTCGAATTTTTTAATGCTTTGATTATTTGGACCTATGTACGCTTCAAACTTTTTGCCTGCTTTTCCATAGGACGTATTCCTGATGGCCGCTATCAAATTTAGGGCGCAAACTTTTGAGCAAGACTAGTGCACGGAATTAAGCGAGAATGGAACGAGGCTATCAAAATGAATAGCAATTGCATTGAATCTAGTAGTTCGTTAAAAATATTTCGACAAACATATTAAGAAACACAATTGTCACTTTTCAATGACTTTTTTTTCATTTAGACACGGCTGTTATTAAAAATGGCGTTGTATTCTCCAGGCTCAGGCAGGACATATGTTCATTGCCATGGTTAGAAGCAGTGACACAGTTCAGGCAGTAGAGTAAGTATTTCTGGTTCTTATTGGAGAAATTTATATTGATCAGATATAATAACTCAGGCAACGCGAAGTCTGGCTTGTTATCCTAATCATCCAACAACTTTGTAGAGACCATTGCACCCTATCATAAACTTGCTATTTATATGTTCATGCGTAAAGGTTAGAGGAATACATAGAACGTTTTAAAGTAATAAAATTCAAGCAAACCAGACTGATATGATAACGAGATCCGGTTAGTAATTAGTCATGGTCGTATCAAGGTTACATGCTGATAGACGTGACAAAAATAATGACGAATATTTTTTTTTTTCGTTGCTGTATAACGGGAAATAATTCGTAGAATATTGGATAAAGTCAGAACCCCGTTACTTGAGTGCAGATCGCATACTTTCAGGTTTCTCTCACAGACTTTAATAAGCCATCCAGAGATTCATACAAATCACAAATAGCGTCCAATGGATCTCTTGTCTATTGAACAAGTCGTAGAATATCGAAAAAAAAGGTCACAAAGGTTGATTTAATAAATATAGAAGCGCAGGATACGGAGTATCGAGAAATTGATGACTTTGATCTCTAGTATTTACTAAACGTCGCTTGACGAATGAATATATCCGTGCGTATACCGGTGACTGTCTCAAAACATGTAACCAGAAGTGTAATTGGCCTTGTTAATGTTTAACTCGACCAAATCATTTTTCACTATGGACGGTCCCCCAGAATCACACATCGTTACGCCGTGACGCGGTAACGCGTAGTTCAGCTAGGTTGACATTAAGTAAATGACGAAATTCGTACACGCCCCCCGAGAGAGGACCGCCACGACGGGTCAGTACCCGGATCTTCTTCAATTGCAATTGCCGATTAAATTTCAAATTAGAGGAGATGGACT